ACTCAGATTGAAAACAACTAAAAGTTTGCAAGAGCTATTGCTTCAACCCTGATATCACAAAATAATCTCTTTTTTTCTTCTTTTTTTCTTAATAATTTATTTGATTTGAGAAGATATGGACATAAATTTTTTTATTTAAATAACAAATATTGAAGGGTAGGTAAGGATAGGAGCTTCCCTTTAATTTTCTTTATAATTTTAACATAATCAAATCAGGGAAAGGGAGAAAAGAAAAACTGAGGAAAATGGAATGTAATTGTCTTCCCTCCCTTTCATTTCTTGGAAATCAAACATGAAGGAAAATATCAAAAGATAATTATTATTCTAATACAAAAGGAGTAGAGATACATTTACATATAAATTTTATATATGATATTTATATAAAATTTTGATAATTTATTATTTTATTTTTAATAATTAAAATTTATTTATTTTTTATTATATTTATTAAAAATAATTATCTTTTTAATTTAAAAAATTATGATAAATTTTAATTATTAAAAATAAAAATAAAAAATTAAAATTTTACATAAACATAATCTATAAAATTTATATATGAATAAATTCATACTACAAAAATATAATATAAATTTTAATGTATACCATCAAAAGGAAATTAAGAGGGTCACTTCTTCTAAATATATTATGTGTAGATGTAAAAGAAAAAAGTTACGGCGAAATAAATTAAATATTTACTTCCAGTGAAATAAATTAAATATTCCCTCCCAACATGGCGTAAAAGCTACTCCGATTATGTTAGGAGACCTTGACTTGATGGCAAAAAAATGAAAAAACGAAAAATGAAAAAGGTACCTTGACTACATATCACCATCAGACATGTAGCACAATTTGGAAAAAGAGTGAAGCATTAAACATCAGGCTCAGAGCCCCGCAACTTCATTTATCGATGTGACTTATTGGAATTTTTTTTTTTAGGCAAAGAGACGTGTTGACATTAATCCTTTATATATAGTTATCCATCCTTTCCAGGAAATTTCCCTATTAAATTATGATCGAGCTATCCAGTTATACTTTGAAACATTTAATTTTTAAATTAAAAATTTTAAATTTAAATAATAAGATAGAGATATTTAACAAGAGTAAGACTTTTCTTTATAAATGAAGTTAGGAATCTATGCGAGGGGTCTGAATTTTTTTGAATAAAAATAAAAAGGAAGTCTAATTGATGATCTAAAATAGTAATGGCCAAAAAAAAAAAAAATCAATGTGATTGCATTTTA